GCCCCGGCTGCCAGCGGAGGGTCGGTGCCGTCGGTGCCTGCCTCATCTCTGGCGGTGAAGTCACTCGGAAAGCCCTGAAGGGCTCGTGCGTGCCCCAGTGTTAGCCAGAGACTCCCTTCCAGCTCCGCTAGGTTGTTCACTCGAAGCCAATTGAAGAGAAGACTGAGAACTGAGGGATGGTAAATCTTTCCCTTCTTTTTTTTTTTTTCCCTTTTTCTATTTTTTTTTTTTTTTTCAAACGGAAAACGTGTAAAGTTGGACTCACCGCACTTTTCCCCTTCCCTTCTCCTTTCTCTCCAAAGCTGTCGTGTCTGTCGATGGCAAGCCGGTGAGAGTTCAGCTCTGCGACACAGCTGGTCAGGTCAGTGAAGTCACTCATTTGATTTAAGTGACAGCGGGAGGGGAGAAGTTGTTGCGCAAAGTAGTCCCGCTAATGACTTTGTGGATTTGAAAGGATTCCCGGTGTTTGAGCATCTTATTAAACCGCTATCATTTTCATTGCCGCTTAACCCGCTGCTTTGCCCGGTGCCTGTCGAAGGGTGGGGGATAGGGGCTGGGGACCGGTTTTCTGGCTCAGGCTGCTGCTTTGCTTAGCAAGGCTGAACATATTGGGGATTCAACGGCCACCTGGTTTTCTCTTTGAGCCGTTGTCACTGTCTTTATTTTTTGCTAATAAAACCGCGGGTTTAAGAATTCTGCTGTTCGGGATGTACGCGTGCAAAGCGTCTACAGCCGTAGGTGTCTGGAGATGGAGACTGGTTTTGAAGGGGCAGAAGCTTAAGGGAGAAAAAACTCTCGGTGGGTGTTGTCTCTGGAGACTTCGTATTTGCCGTTCCCACCCCCTGAAAAACCGCTGCCGCCCCAAAGCTGTAATCGAAGTCCTGAAGAGTTGAGGCTGGCTGATGCCTCTCAGCTCCTAGTTTGCCTGATACATAAAAAAAGTCCATTTCTTACCACCTTATATCTTCTGCAAGTCCCTGGCTTGTACCGCCCCGAGCAGCGTGCCACGCTGTTTGCCAGGCGTTGAGTCTGGTTAGCCAAAAATAACCAAAAGTATTTTGTTGCCTAGCAGGCGTTTGAAGGCGGTGGGGGTTCGGTGGATCTGGGTCTCCGCCTTCACCAAAACCGTGCTGAAAAATCTCAACGGCCTTAACACACAAACCTATTTAGAGGAGTTACAACTGGGCGCCCTACTTAGGAAAGGGCTCTGAAGGGCTGCGCGGTCCGAGACAGCGGTGTAGGACTCCCATGTGCCCTACAAACCAAAGCTAAAATCCTACAAGCGGCCTTCTGCAGGTAATGATACGAAGGAAAACAGCAAAACTGTCCCACGATTTCGTGTCCTGCTGAAGAGACGGGCTGGTACCGCCACAGCCTTGGCCGTACGTGTTGATACGTGGAGCGTGGCAGGTGAAATTGCCATCGGGTGACAGCCGGGAAATGTGGCCAGAAGCTGCAGGAGGGACAGGCAGGTCCGGTCACCTCTTGCCTGGGCTGCCCTTGATGGTTAAGGCGTTTGCTCCGGGTACCCGAGTGTGGCTGGAATGGGTAGAGTCCCTGGTGTAAAAATGAAGGGGTTCTCTAAACCGACAGAAGTCATCCTGAGTAAAAGGTACCTAGCTGGATACTTTGGTAAAACTGCTGCTGCCGTGAGCTGGCTGCTGAAATCTGCAGCTGAAGAAGCACCCCAAGCAGAGGGAAGTTGTATTTCAGCATCGCCAACCCAAAGGGGTGTAGAGCCCCTGCAGGTCATGCACCTGCCCCTGAAACTGCGGGAGCGTACCTGGGATATCAAGGGCACTGTTTCATTTTGGCACAAACCCTTCAGGTCTGGGTTTGGCATTCGAACCCGTTGAATCGAGCCCTTTTGAGGTTTCTCGTGTAGCAAGAAGAGGCGCTGACATGGCAAGGGGCCTTGCTGTAAACGGCCCTGTCCTTCAGAGCAGCATCTCGGTAAATGCGGGGTTTCTCTCGAGCCAGGCGGTGAGAGGCTTAATCCCAGAATCGAGAGAGCTAATGAAGCTTGCTTTCTTGACTCGTGTTTTATAAATTGCTCGCTCTCTCGGAGATACTGCTGGAAGAAATTCATTTAGGCGGAACAAGACTTCTTCCAGGGGGCTTTAAACTGCGTAGTCTGGGCCTCCAGAGGCTTTAAAGCCAAATTTCACCTCTCGAAAATTAACATGGGACTTGCAATTCAGCAGTAAACTGCTGCTATCGGAGAGATGTTTTCGGCTGTGTGTGTTCTTTGCACTTTCAATTCAGAGCTTTTGAGAACATGGGCCGTTTTAATTAAAATGTCACTGCCGCTGAGGCAAATCCTACCTGTTCAGGCTGCTAGTGTTACCCTGCTTTTATCCTGCTGTCAGCATAAAAGCCGCCTGCCTGGAGTTAACCCTTGCTTCTTGCTGCATTCTTTGCTGAGGATCAGCACGCCTTTGTTACCTTGAGGTGTTTGGCTTTCTTGTGGCTAGTTCCTGAAGCTGAAAAAGGGCCTTGCTTTGCTGGAATTTGCACTAAAAGGGGGAAAAAAAAAAAAAAAAAAGAAAAAAAAAAAAGACAGGTAGCGCTGGGAGGCGTGTTTGCAGTTTGTTTGATGTGGCATGGGTGGGAAGGAAAGGTAAAGCTCTTACTCTATGCTATTGGCATGTTAAGCCTGCACATTGTGAGTCATTATTGCTGCCATCAGATTTAAATCCCTGCGCACAATGGCAGGGAAATTATTCCCATATCCTGTAGGATGTTGTTAAGTAGTCACCAGTTTAAAAGCTGATTCCAGGAAAGGTAGGATTCCAGGAAAGGTACGCTTGCTGCCTCTTGCCTGCCTGGTTCTTGCCCCTCTCCGGAGGCAGGGATGCTGGCAGAGCAGCTTTGGGGCACGCGGGCACTCCCCATCTCATCGGAGCAGCTCACTGCCTCAGCCCTGTACGAGGTGGACCTGTAAAAAGTACCTTCTCCCTCCCGTACTTTGATTTTTGGTTTCATTGCTCCTATAACCCACTCCCCGCAGCATTGCTCCTTTGCTGGGGTAGGGCAGAGGGCCTGTGTGCAGAGGGCGAAGGAAATATTTAAGCGCTCGAAACAAGCTGTGGCATCAGTCAGAAAATCTCAGCCACGCAGGGAAGCCACCACCTTTGTCCTGCGTGCCCGATGGTGGCTAGGTGCCTGCTGCCCAGGTGGACCTCAGGCTGGGTATGGGTGACTTCTGCTCATAACAGACCTCGCTGGGTGCTTTGGGTGCTCATGTTGAGGTGCCTCTAAGATGACAGCTGGGAGCGTACCGGGGCATCCTCCGTGCTCTTTCCGTGGGGTGCTAACGTGATTTTGTTCCATGCAGGATGAATTTGACAAGCTCAGGCCTCTGTGCTACACCAACACGGACATCTTCTTGCTGTGCTTCAGCGTGGTGAGCCCCTCGTCCTTCCAGAACGTGAGTGAGAAGTGGGTTCCCGAAATCCGATGTCACTGCCCCAAGGCACCCATCATCCTGGTTGGGACGCAGTCGGATCTCCGGGAGGATGTCAAAGTTCTCATCGAGCTGGACAAGTGCAAAGAAAAGCCGGTCTCGGAGGAGGCTGCGAAGCTCTGTGCCGAGGAAATAAAAGCCGCGTCCTACATCGAGTGCTCGGCTTTGACTCAGAAAAACCTCAAGGAGGTCTTTGATGCGGCAATCGTGGCTGGTATTCAGTACTCGGATACCCAGCAGCAACCAAAGAAATCCAAGTGTAGGACTCCAGACAAGATGAAAAACCTCTCCAAATCCTGGTGGAAAAAATACTGCTGTTTTGTATAGGGGTTGCAAGGACCTGATTGCTGCTCTGAGGAAATCAAATAGAGGCTATATTAGCTGAAATCTCATTCTGTGTCGTCCCGAGTGTATAGTGTAGATCTGTATGTATGTGTATATGTTGCTACTGGATATCTCGGTTGCCCTTTCGAGGGTGGCAGAAGGATTCTTAGTTAAATAATTGCTATAAAATCAGGTCTGGCATCCAGTTTTGTGACTAAAACCTCTCATTAAGGAAGAAAAGCACCACGTGTCTGTGAGGGTGGAAGGATTTGTCCAACGGATTCGACTTCGTGTGTTGTAAGGTGTATGCGATGGGGAGGAGCACACCGGAGGCCTTCGCTGCCAGGGCTTCGCAGGAGGAACGCGCCAGCAACGGTGGAAACGTCGAGCTCCGTACACGGACCTTTAAAGGGAAAAATAACACTGTGCCTCCTAACTGACATTTGTAGCTTTAAAATCCCACTCCTGCTCTCTCCTCCGTGTCTTCCCAAGCCAACGCTCTAAGGGATCGCTTTAAAAAGGGTATGCGAGAGGTCTAATCTATACGCAAATGCCACGGTTGGAAAGGTCATGAATATACCTTCAGCATGCAGCGAGGGAACCTAACCCCTTACGGAGCTGACATCTCCTTTGTGAAAGTCCTTGCTGTCCCCCTTCCCTTGCCCTTCCCAGGAAGCCGAGTGGAAGCCCGAGAACACGACCAAGCTTTAACTCGCTACCTCGAGCAGTGGCGATTTCCCCTCTATTTTTGCAGACATGACGACAGTTCATCTATTTCAGCTGAAAGGAATGTAAATGCTGTTGTGTTGGGGTTTTTTCTTTATTTTTTTCTTTTCTTTTTTTTTTTTTTTAAGGAGATGTGACAGATATCCTTGCAGCACCATGTAAATCGCGTCTGGTTTTAAGTCTACAGCCAAGAATTTCAGGATGCCCCTCCTTACCTTTTAAGGCTGCTAAACAAATAACAAATCAGGCAGATCAAGATTTATAACAAACCGGACTCTAGAAACTGAGGCTGCTGTGTCCTCTTCGCGACGCTGTTTTCGACCAAGTTAATGTTTCCCTTCTAAAGGCAACAGTCGCTTGTGGTTGAATTTTGTCCAAGCTCATCGTTGTGAATGGCTGAAACCACCCCAGAAATTTAACTAATGATTTTTTTTTTTTCCAGATCAGTCCATCACGTTAACTGAAATGTGCCTAAAATGTAGCTGAGTGATCAAAAATCTGGTTCCTGCTAAACTAAGCCTAATTCCAGCCCTGGTGAGTTCGAGAGACCTGAGGGATAATGTGACTCTCTGCAAGAATCAGTATTTTAACTTATTCTGCAGAGGACATTTCATTTGTTCTGTCTGTCTGTCTGCCTTTTTATGGCCCTGATGACTATTTTGTTTTTCCCCTAGATATTTCAAGATCAGATTATATATATATTTTTTTTTTCCTTTGGCCGTAGCCTTGAAGTGACCTTTTTCATAGTCTTAAACTAAACGGCAGTGACAGAAAGCCGGAACCTCTTTTTCATCAGAAATGAATCAATGCCTGATATAAAGAACAACTGTGGAAACCATTTGAGTTGATAAAGCTGACTACAGTTTACCTCCTGGCCTGTTAAAGAAAATGACACTATGTAAATGGATTTTGGGCCATATTGGCATAGGCTCCGCAGGCAGTATTTTTTCCTCCTCTACAGCAAAATGAGTCCAGAATGGGTAATGTTCCATCGCTGAAAACTTGAAAATGGGATGGAAATCTTTACCTAGGGCCTAATTCCATAAAAATGTGTTGGCTTCTGCACTGGAACAGCCTGGAAAAACAGTTTCCATAGCACAGAAGCTGGATGCATTTAACTTGGTTGCATCTGGTTGGTAATGGTTTAATATTCACTGGTCATGAAGTTAACGTCTGAGCCTTTATATTTCTTACTCAAATGCTTTGACAGGATTTCAGATATGCAGTCATACCATCATCTTGGAGAAAAACACAAAGTCAGATTTCTCTTGGGTGCTTTGCTTCTCTGTAAAACGGTCTCGGTCGATCAAAAATGTGAGTTTGAGGAGGAGACAGGCTTGAATCTGAGCAGCTTCCATTTGCAAAAATAACAAAATTTCTTCTGCGAGATCATACTGCTTTGTATCACGCCATACTGGAAGCAGTAGGTTATATTTTATAAGCAGCCTGTTTCATAGTCTGGAGTAGCATTACTTTTAAATGTAGCCAGCTGTGACTGTTTCTGAAAATGTGATGTATATACAACTTGTTATAGCCCTTTACTAGGTGTGTGTAAACTGAGGTCTAATAACTTTACGAATACTGCTCTACACGGGGCTACACAGGGTCTAGCTTTTAGAAATATTACTTTTAAAATCACCAGTATTTTACGAGCGCAAGTGAGGGGGAGATGTCTTTATGTAGTCTATAATCTGATGTGCCTTATAAAAAAAAAACAAAACAAAAAACAACCTCTCTTCTGTTTTCTAAGTGTAGGCTATATTCCGAAAGAAATATTTCATGTGAGAATGATATAAATGAGGTATTTGGAAATAAATTCTGACCTGTGTATGTGTCTGCCTCTGCTGCCTGCTTGGGGAGGCTGAAGGGCACCCGGTACCCGGGCAGGGAGGGGGCAGCCGCACTGCCAGCCCGAGGCTGTGCTCCCCGTGCCCCGGCAAAAGACCCCTGGTTAAAAAATTACAGACTTTTCCCCATCCCCAGGGTCTGGGCTGGATGGGAAGGGTGTGATGGTGGGCTGGAGACCCCTGAGATCGGTGGTGTGGTGTTTCACCTGCCGCATGTTCCCTTCTGGGCACCAAGGGTCTTGTCACCTCCTCCTTGGGTCCTGTCCCTCGTGCTAGGGCCAAGGCGTGGGGGGTTTGAGGTTGTTGGTGCCCAGCACCGGGTGGCCATGGCCTTCGTCCTTCCATGCCATGCCGACTGCCCTGGGGCTGTGTTAGCCAAGTGGCGAGCAGCGTAGACCCCCGGGCATCTCCACGGAACTGGTGGTCCTGCTACGAAACCACTCTGGAGAAGGAGCTTCGCTCTGGACCAAGGTTTGTAAACTGTCACCGTTGCATTTACTTTTCTGGGGGTTGAGCGGAGAAGGCACACTGGCATGGCACACCAGGATGCCCTCCCATGCCACCTGTCTCCCGGGTCGTAAGGCCGACGTATTTTCAACCATGGAAATGGATGCAACCTGCACGAAGCAGAGGAAGGAGATCGCTGTACTGTTCCTTTTTCCTATGGTTGGTTCCTCACTGAAGCAAAGTCTTGACTTCTTTTTCTACTTTGTTAACCGACACACTGGGGACTGCCGGGAGGTTTGTTCACCTGGTCGTGCCTGCAGCACCGCGACCCTGCCCCGGTGCCCGACCCACCGGTGGGTTCCTTTCTGGTGGGTACCTGGTGCTGAGTCACCACTACCATCGCTGCTGCCTTTGAAAAATCCCTTCCGCTGGGTTTTTGCCCTGGACCACAAGAAGTCGGGGTGCGCTCACTAGAGCCCAAGTCACCCCACCTTTGCACAGTGACTTTGCAAGAAAAGGGACTGCGTTAGCTGACAGCCCAGAACCCTCCGTCGCCAAATCTCGGTGCAAAAATCCCTCTTCTACCTATGGGGTGGTGTTTTTCTGCTGCGGTAGGCTGCTGTCTTACGCATCCCGACATCTGGAGAGGGCTAAGGCAGTTGGGGTCATCCTTTACCCCGGGGTAACTGTGTGCTGCTGTGATCAAAAGGCTCCTTCAGCTGCCCCGCTGCAGACACTGGAGGGGCTGGCAGCTCAGGCTGATAAGAGCCTACCGAAGTAAGCCCACTGTACGTAAGATTTTCCAGGAATGCTGAAATCCCTGCCGCTTTGTGATGGATGGAAGTTCCCAAGAGAGGATTTTGTTTTCTTTCATATCAAATTAAAATGCTCTAGGAATAATTGTGGTTTTTTTTTTTCCCCCATGGAAAAAAATGTTGCCTTTACCATTTTTCCCCATGTATTTTGTGTGTTGGATGTACCTCTAGGGTGTGATTGAGAGTTGACTAGAGCCGAGACCTTGACAAACGTGGCAGTTTTGGGAGAAGGTGTCTCTCAGGAAACTTTGCCACACTCTTACTTTGCTTTTTATTTTCTTCCTAGACATCACTTACTGACCACAGAGAGGGGGAGACTGCTGCAGGAGGTGGCTTTTTCGTATGACCGCGTGTAGCTGACCTAATATTGTCACATGTATTACGCTTAAACCTCGCTGAAGCATGTGAGTGCCCTTGTAATTGAGCAACCTTTCCGAGCTCTAGTAGAAAATTGATGTGCTCAGAGGTTTGTACAGAAGAGATCTCTGTCAACTTCTGCCTTTAGTGTTGCCCTGGCATGCAGCGAGGTGGGAAGAGGGGAAAAACAACTATTCGGGAAAGAATGAAACTTTATAAATCTTGGAAGAACTGGCAAAGGGACTCCAGCGCAATAGGGAGTGATAGAAACTACTTTTACATACTTTGGGCATAAGCAGATTAAAAGCCCAATTAGAGAAATGCATGGGGAAACGAACAGCCCGGAGGAGGGCTGTTAGGTACAAAACGACAGCCTTTTCTTTAGGACGTCTCAAAGCCGTGGATAGCTGGGAGGGAATATCACTGCACACTATAGGGAAAAATCACTCGGCCTTTGCTTGGTTCTTGTGCTCGCTCCCCAAGCATCTGCGCTGGCTGGGGACGGGATGTGGGATGAGGTGGATTTTTGGCATCAACCAGCACAGCCGTCCTAACGTATTTAATGTTTTTGAAAGAGCAGGATGGGTTTCAGGCCAACAGCAGGGCCCCAAGATCCAACAGGACCTTCTGAAGCTTTAGCTTCCTGCATTGCTGGCAGTCGGTGAGAAGACGTAATGTGATGGGGGTTGTTCGTTACCCGTTTAGTGCAGCCCTCTCTGCTATAACGTGGGGACCAAGCAGTTGTGTAATGCAATGGATTTTACTGTCTGAGGCACAGTATTCTTCAGTGTTACCCATTTATTTCTCCACGCTGTTTTAACAGGATGGATAAATCAGTGACGTGTATGAAAAAAAAGGCATAAAGCCCCAGCTTGGACCAGCTTTTTAAATTCAGCCCCTGTTTTTTTAATTCAGCAAGGGAAATGTGTCTAGAGAAGAAAGCATGAGGAGCAGCTCTGCTGATCTGCAGGGGACTGCACCCACCAGAGGAGCTCCTCTGGCTCTTCAGCGCAGAGCAAGGGGACGTGCGGCAGGCACCGATTCGGATGCTCCTGGTGGGTGCATGAGTGTCCCCCAGCATCTGCTGTTCTTTAGGTCTGTGCGTTTAGGTCAGATCCCGATTTTATTCTTTGGAGGCAAAAGAGGAATCATTTCACCAAGGTCAGCAGAATTGCAGACCTGTAAGGCTTTATGTAGCCTGAGAAAGACTCGAGCAGGGATCCCTGTTCAGCTTCTGGAGTTGCAGATGTGCTTGTAAGGACATTGCCTTTGCATGGCTCTTTCCCCCTAACTTCACAGGGAGGGAGGGATATTGATCCTCTACTGCTGCTCAGAGTTTTGCTGCTCTCGGTGGTCCCCTGGGTCCAGCCCACCTACTTCAAATCCTCTGCAAGTTTTCTGTGCCT